AAAGGAGTTTACGTATCCTCAGCAACTATGATTCATCAACCCTAGATTCTCATTGAAAAGGGTCGTGTGAGAATTGAGAGAAATGACTCTTTTCAGGTCGCGATCATCGTATTCAGTACAGTGGTAGTGGTCAAGGCTCTGGCGGTTTTGGTGGTCAGCGCAATTACCAAAACAGTGGCAGCGGTGGTGGATTCAGTAGCTCAACTCAGCGTCAGAGTAATCGTGCTCCTCCCCAAGAAGATTGGTTCGGCAACTAACCAGGTGCTGTCAATTCCGATTACTAATCGAGCAACCATCCTGATTTTTATCCTCGTCAAATGTTTATGCTGTATCATTGAATTCACTACGTACAAGAACTAGCTAGCTCCTCCACCCGCGTTCTCTACTACGTCCTTTGTTTGTGTGTGTTGTCATGAAGAGGCCCGTGTTTGGTGGGCGGTACGCGTCGCGTTTTGTTTTGTGAGACGAGCGAATGATCGAATTCGCAGTATGTCTCGTCTCCGTTTGGATAATCTGAGTTCGGTGTGTTCGACTCCAGAAGCTCTTTCGTCTGTCTCCACCACCAGCAGTGTGGCTAGTGAGGCGCGACGTTGGCGCTTTGTCGACTTTCAACGATCTTTGCGAATGGCTCTCTGTCTCCGCTGTTATTCCTCTTCTCATCTCATGGTGTGCTATGGATTCGGCTGGCCTCCACTAGTAAGCATTACTGATAACAATACTTTGTTGTTAATTCTGTTTTTGTGGATGATAGGTTTCTTATTGATGTGTTTCCAATGTGCTGCAATCATTCTTTGTCGTTGTAATTGTTACTATGATGATTATCTCCTGTCATCTAACAAGTGAGTTTATTAAAGATTAGCCATTTGTTTACCTTCGCGCGACGCGTCTTGATCCCATTGACGGCGGGTCTTCTTTGTAATCTTATTTAACACTCTTCATTTGAAAATGTGGTTTTGTAGCATCGTAATAAAGTGTCTGGTATTTGAAATGAACTTTGTTAAATAATGCTTCGAGTTCAAAAGAAACGCATTCTTTATCTATACGAGTACGCTGGCTATGCAAGGACTAATGCTAACTTACTTTAACAAATTTGAAGAATTCTAGTTGGTACATTTGCACTTTGAGATTTGAAATAAAGCATATGCAAATCTCATCTTATCAAACGTTCGTTAATGAGAAAGAAAAACTAGAGCTTGAAAAGCGCAGCGCCTCCATTGCTTTATTTGTTGGTAACAAGGACTTAGAGGATGCATCTTCACGTCTACGTATACTTCCTGGACTCGACACACTGGATAAGTAAAACCCTAAGACATTAGATGGAGCTACGTAGTAAAAAGGTTGCTACCGACATGAGGTCATCCGAATATCTTAAAGAAGATACTCTATATCGCCTAGAATAGAATGTCAAAAATGAGCTCTCAGTATCAATCTTATGCGCCTCATTTGAATACTCGAAAGGTGAGTCCATGGCAACAAGCCGCTTATGCGCCAAAACAATGTACTGTGCTGGTATGATTTGCTTTGAGAAGGAACTGAGGTATCAACAATAGTGATGCTCAATGAAAATTCTACTCTTCAGAAATCTTAAGTTGTTGGATGTGAGTTCTTTGAATACCTGACTATCAGGAGGCATCAAGTAATACAGTTAAGCAGTTCTGTACACTTCTCGCAGAAAAATTTCAAACAGAGGCATCGGAAGCGCTAGAGCAACAAGGAATTCCAAGTTTTGAAAGAGATAAAAGATTGACTTGAACATAGCGCAAAATCTAATGAAACGATATTTATGCCTGCAAAGCTAAATGTTCACCGCAAGCATCCCACTTAAAGCAAGTTAAACAGTTATTTCAAGAGATACGAAGATTTAACCGAAAAAAA